TCATACAGTTGGCCTCGGCCCATCGATTCCTCCATCTGACAGGCAGAAGGTCAAGCTCATCATCTACCAGGACAGAGATTATTGCTCTGTTATCAAAACACTGCCTGGAAGTTGGTCTCTCTCAACGTCTCTGATCTCTGAAAAAGTGCTTTCACAATCTCTCTTGTTCCAACCATCCCTAGTTCTGTCAGCTAGAATTTGCACTGAATCGTACCAGGGGGTAGTCTTAGTCCTTGCAGGGGGTGAGTGCAAGGTCAGGCATAGTAAGCAGTCGGGAAGGTGCTCAGATGGCACGCGCTGATGTCATCCCACCACTGTCAGACTATGTAACAGGAAAAGCAGGTTCACCATCACAGTATTACCCACAAGTGTAACAGGAGACACCAAGTTTATGATTCTTATTTAGGAAGAAGTGCCAAGAGAAATCATATTTAAGCACTAAAGCCCTGCTTAGGCACCTAATTCCTGTCTATTCCAAACATCTGAAGTGCTAGTTGCTCATTTGCCATTGCAGCTCGTGCTATGGTTACCAATTTCCATTCTATCCTTTCCAAGGAAAAATAAGTTTGCAAAGATCTTTGGTATTGTGAAGTTAGCATCCACCTGTTTCCTGTGTTTTCACCCAGTGAAGGAATTTACCATCGAGGATCTGTGCTCTTAACCAAGACCATCCAATATGTTCCCTGGGAAATCAGTTTCTCCATGCTGAGGCCATCTATGATGCATTTCATGTATTGTCTTTCATGTTTTGCAGCACGTGCCCTGAGGGATATATATGTCTAAAGGCTGGGGAAAATCCTGACCATGGTTACACAAGCTTTGATACTTTTGGCTGGGCCTTTCTCTCTTTGTTCCGTCTTATGACTCAAGATTATTGGGAACGTCTTTATCAACAGGTATGAGGTTGTTCTATTGCTGTTAAAAAATGTAAAATAAACACATCATCCTGTTACAGTTGTATATCCAATAATTAAAGACAAGAAAGAATTGCTGGTTATTAGGTAAACTGTCCTGTGTGTGTTGTGGACAAGGGTCAGCAATTGTTACAATTAATTTTGTTTCTTAGGAGTGATGATACCAGGAGACATTAGGCTGGATGTTTGGGGAAAGGGGGTAAAATTGGTACTGAAAGACACTTTGAATGGGTAATTCACCTGAATCTAAATGAAGTTCACCCCTTAAGAAAGATCACCATGTCACCACTTAATGATTTTTTTGATGGCTGGTGTAACATGAACTAATCTTTTGAGGTCAGCTAAAAAAAGGACTAGGGAAACAAGTCAGGACTAGAGAAAGACAATGAACACAAGTTCACCGGATGGCAAGACTACCTGGTACCTTTCCCTGCTGCAAACTTTTCACCATGGACAACTTACAGTCAGCTTACAGTCATGTGTGCAAGATGGTCTGCTAGTAAATGCTCATTTTAGCATGCATTTCCTTAAATGTATGCAAACTCTGAAGAACTACATGTGATAGTTTGGTACTGAATTACATACTCTGTCCATGAAGCCACTGAAGATTTACTTCTGCATCTCAAAATTGCCAAAACCAAAGCATAGTCGTAAGGAAATCAAGGGAGTTAGTGCTGACAGATACTACTCTGAAGTAGTAGTAGTAGACATCTTTAAAGGTACTGGGGATTTCAGCTTCACATGCAGCCAGTTACACAATTGCATTTCAGGAAAATGTAAAACAATTCAATTGAAGATTCCTTAAGTGACTGTATTTGCTTACTTGGCACAGAGCTGCATGTACAACTCTGGAAGGCTGAAGCTGTCAGGGCAAATAAGGGTGAACATCACTCCCTTTTATTATTTGACCTTATAATATCACACAGTGGTTTCTGTCACTAGCATCAAGTCATTGGCCATGGGACTTATCTGTAATATAAGCTCAGCCTGTTACCGTAAACTCCAGTTATGCCTATAAATCTGGTGGAGAACCAGGCAATACAGTCAACGGCACCCAAAGTTTGGTTCTTCTTATCCTGAGGCAGATGTCTAAATAACGTTCAGATAAGTTGCACCCTAAAAGTATCTTTTTCTCCCCACTGATGGTAAAGGACCTAGGCTGTAGACATCTGAAGGGATACAACATGAATCCTGCTTGGAAAGTGTTTATGCGCTGGACAAAAATAGATTGAGCTATGTGGGGGAAGCTTTCACTGCAGCTGGTTATAAGATTATCTATTCTCAAAGAAAAACAGCAGAGATATTTGGTAAAGGAGGAAAGCATTCTTCTTTTAAAAATGAATTCTACTGCAAGGCATGTAATTTTTGAATAAGGTATAAAAATTTATTGATGAGAAGGTTATTTCCTTGCATGTGGTTATTGTTTGTCATCAGAAGGATTCTGTTTGGGCTAGTAACAAAGGCTGAATTCAATTATGTTGTAAAACTAAGTTTTCTAAAAAATTAATAAAATTTTTGGTTTTCTTTTAAAAAACATTGTAATCAAGTGTAAGTGATTTTAGTTTTGTGCTTACAGACTCTCAGATCTGCTGGGAAGATCTACATGCTTTTTTTTATGCTGGTCATCTTCCTGGGCTCATTTTATCTGGTCAACCTGATTCTGGCTGTTGTGGCCATGGCGTATGAAGAGCAGAACCAAGCCACTATTGCCGAAACAGAGGAGAAGGAAAGAAAGTTTCGGGAAGCCATGGAGATGTTAAAGAAAGAGCAGGAGGTCAGTAAACTATGTGACGTGTTTAACCTTGGGTAACTTGAACAAATGTTACCTTGAGATTCACATTCTCTTTATTTTACATTTATGCAATAACCAAAGTCAGAGTTTGCTTGAAAGCAGCTTAATGTTTATTCTCCTGGACAGAGTTATTACAATCCTTTCTAAAAGAAAAAAGATGGCTCTTCCTGCTTGGGTTGGAGCTATCTAGGGTTTACATATCCAGAGTTGTATCGGTTTAACTGTACCACTTATGCCAGCAGAGGAATTTATATTGGTTGGCATATAAGACATTTTAGTGATGGTATAACTACATCTGCATTTGAGCACAGATTTGAGAACAGCTATTGTGGTAGCTCAGCTATAGCCCCAGCTGAACCTTCTTCCATCATCACTTTAGCTCATGTTCGTTTCCTCACTGTCTCATTCAAACTGCTATGAATATCCAACTGTCCGATAATGAAGATAAAGATGCAGGATAACCTGTTCAAAGCACATACGACTTCATTCCTGAAAAAGTAAACAGGCAGATCTTGAGGTTAAACTTTGCAAATTATACAGAGGATATGGATTTAACATTACGTCATAAGCTTAAACAAAACAGGGAGGCCAAATGGTAGATGTAGCCATATAGCCTTAATAGCACTAGTTAATTTGCCTGTGGTTTGTGTGGGGTAGAAAGCCTTTATTAAGCAGCTGAAGAGAACATTTTAGGTGCTGTGAACAAGAAAACAATAGGAAAATTAGTCTGAAATAACACGTAGCACTGTAGTTCAGAGAAATAAATCCTTGATACACAATATAAACTAATATGCATAATTTTCTTTTGGGTACATATGGCTTCAGGGCCTAATCCAAAACCCATTTAAATCCTTGGAAAAAAAATAGAAAACGCAATTCACCCTTGACAAAGTCCTAGTGGAGGCTTATACATCATTTAAGTCCTTTTAAAGATCCTCTTTGATGGTTTAAGTAATAGGTAAATGCAATTTAGTCCATATACAGGCACTTTGAACAGAGTAACTTTCTGCCATAACCTAAGGCAGCAAGCTGAGCTCCAACTCGTACCTATTTTATATAAATTTTCATGTGTTTTGACTCCAGCTGAGCTCTTCCTAATAACAGTCAACTCTGGTAGCCCCAGCTATAATTAAAGATATTTAAGAATTTTCTTTTGAAGGCTTTGATTTCAGTAAAGCCTGTATGTACACAAAATAGGAACATGAAGTCATGGAAGTCAGGATGTGTCAAAATGAAGGTTGCTCGTGAAAACCTAAATTGTTCCCATTTATCTGTATGCTTCATAACATAGTCTTCTCTTCAGCTGACCACATCTCATTTTTCCTGTGTCTGCTCAGTACAAAGGGTGGACAGTGCATGACTCAAGAGCAGCTCTTTGCTTTCTCATCATTTGTTCTGTAGCCTTAGGCCAGCTCAACCAGACTTCCCGACTTAGGCATTCAAAGACAAAATGACTAACATCCTCAGAGATTTTTCAGTGCCTCTTGTCACTGCTCAGACTCTGTGTGCTTCAAAAATACTCATTTGTATTTGCAATACTCCTGGAGAATTATCCCAATTTTATGGAAAGGAAACTTAGGAGTAGAGCAATTGGGGTCCATCGTGTTCCTTAGTGAAGCTCAGTAATTCTGCAAATCAGCCCCCAACCTCTCAAATTAAACATCTGGAAGAAGAGGCACGGGAAAGTGAATTGAGTGGTCTGCCACACCATGTAGCTGGTGTCCTTCAGATGTCCTTCTCAGGTGTCTCACCCCAATCAGAGCTACTCACTTTTAATCTTGCTCTCCAAGCCTTTATCAAGTTCTTGGTTTTGACTTTCTCACCATGCCACTAAGTTCTTGCCTTGAGGCAAGAGTCCTAGAGATAGGACTTGAGATAGGATAGTCTAGAGATAGGGCTGCGTAATCCCCATGTCTGGGCTTGTGTGAGCTAAGCTGTTCTCCCATCCTTCAGCCACCACCCGTCCTTGCCAGACATGCCCGGTCCCAAACTCCTTCCCTGCCCTGGGAGTTATCACAGTGGGCTATGGCTTGCAATGCCTGAGGGGCAGGACACAGTTCAGCCATGGGAACCCAACCAGAAAGGGTAGATAGACAGGACATGGGGATGTCATCCGTGTCCTGAGAAACAATTTCGTCCGAATCCTTTTTGAACAATTGAAAAAGGTACGCAGGGCAGAAGCATTTCAATGCAAGCAATAGGTAAGAAAATGCTAAGAAACTGAAAATTAGATTATTTTGCAGTAAGAGTACAGCACGCTTAGCAGCACAGCCTACAATATTTTCTAGATCAGTAAAATATGAGGGCAATCAGAAAGGAAAACTGAAACTCTTTAGACCAGCTTTTACACTATGCAGTATAAAGACGGTACAAATATAATTGATAGGCCTGCTTGGGGACTATCAGTCAATTTACACAATTGGTCTAACACATTCCTAAGCCTGAACTTAACACCAAAAGACTTGCTGAATCTTTATGAAGAGAAAGCACTTCAGCATAGCAATTAAATCAATTGACTCAAAAAAAAAAAAAAAACCCAACAGCTTAGACCGGTGTCTGAGCCCTCCTCCTCTCTCTGCTCTAAGCACCTCGCTCATGAAAGATATTTCCCACAGGAATTAAGTTTTGTTGTGCTCTCAGCTTGATAGAGCTACCGCTGCTCCTTGAAATACATGATTGATTCTTTACACGACTGTTAAGTGCCTTCACTTTCCTTGGACTGATGCCTGTGGGAGGAAGGGAGCATTTTGCTGCGGAGAGCTGATTGCCTGTTTGATTCTAGTGGCTTACAGACAATAGCACTGAGGATTCATCCGTTTCTCTGGTTCTTGAGAACCTGGAGAGGCTTTTTTTTTTTTTTTTTTTTTTGTAACTCACTGGCTTTATGTATTTCGGCTGGGGGCTCTGCAAATGGGCTTGTCTCCAGGCCACTGATGTGGCCACCGCTGAGACGCCGGCACTTCCAAACCCGACCTCGTGCTTTGTGCTCAGAGCCCCCTCGCTCCTCCCGCCCGCACCAGGGATGGGGACGGACCCAGTGCGCTGGCGTGGGCTGCGGCTTCTTCCCTGCACCTATCGATTCTTCCTCCTGGCTGCTCATTTGCTTCCAAGGCTGTGGCTTTGTGTGCTCAGGCTTTCGCGTTCGGCTTCTGCTGGGTTTCTAGCAGTTGGTCTGTTATCAGTCAGCTCCTGCAGCAATCCCACCAGATAGCCAGCACAGCACCGAAGCACACGGCGAAGCAAAGTCCACCTTATCTCCAGTTAAGCCCACGGTTTTCTCTTTGCATCTCCCATCATAGCTGCCTGCGGTGCTGCTTGGGATAAGAGCTTACAAAAACGTGCCAGCTGAATTACCTGCTGGCCCTAGCATCCCTCTGTGATAGGGGAGGAAAAATTCCAGCAGCCACCTTGGCTGCCCTCCTGCCCAGCCCTCCCGGTTCAAGGGGCTGAAGTCCAGAGGGGGTTTAATCTGAGGTTCCCCAGCTTGAGATTTGTTTTGACTGGTACCAGAAGTGTTACTCCAGAGATGTTTGCACAGTGTACACCTGCAGGTGTGTGCACACAGGCTGTTCCTTTCATGAAATGTCGAAGGATCTTCTGTGTGAGCTCTACATAAATCACATTATTTTATGCAGCCATTCCTAGTGCTCCATCATAGGATCTGGGTGGCAGACATGCATGTGTGCATTTGTACTAGGAACCTGTCTCGCTTGTTGTTTATTTTCCTATGGCTAAATGTAGAGGTTAGAAACAGGTTAAGACCGGTTCCAGCCATGTGAGATGATAGTTTTATGATTAATGACTGCCTGAAATTTTTAATTTATCTCCTATACAACCTTAAAACTTAAAATGAAGAATAATTTCTGAGCAGAGTAATTATTAGTTCTCACTGAGATCCTTAACGCAAGTAATAAATTTTACACCTTCTACCATCTTCTGTTTTAGGCACTAGCTGCTAAAGGTATTGATTCAATGTCACTTAGTTCATTGGAAATGTCACCTTTAGCATCCAAAAATGCCAAGGAAAGAAGAAATAGGCGAAAGAAAAAGAAATCTTTGGCGGCAGAAGAGTATGGAGAAGACCAAAGGAATCCCAAGTGTGACTATGACGATGGTCAGAGGAGAATGGTAAGCCATGGTCTGAAATGTCACTTATTATTTCACACTGCACTTTGCTGGATAGGCCAGGCCCTGAACAGGCAATTAAAGCTGAAACTTTCTGCTGTAAAGAAGAATCAGATATTTAATATCATAACTGACCTGCAGACAGTCTGTGTTAGAACGGTGGAAGGAAACATATTACCACTGTATTTTCAAAATGAATTAAAAATGCCCATTAAACATTCTTACTAATCTATTTTGTTTCAAATTTTCTTTTACTTTTTTTTTGCGTCAAGATTACCACAGTCTGGTTTATTTTCTTACTTTAATTTCATTCATCTGATTATATCTATCCTATCCCTACTAGAGATAAAAAAATTCTTAGAAGAAACCTACAAAGCTTGAAAAGAAAAGAGAGGAGGAGAAAAGGAGCAAACTTGTCTCTGAGGGCTTTTTAAATGCTATACAAAGACATGATTAACATTTTTGTATTCCTTTGCTAGTTGCCTTCAAGTCAAAACTTTGTGGCACTTGTTTCTACTTTCTATTGCAGGGAAAAAAATAGGGTGAGACTGTTGTTAAGTAGGATTTTATATAAATGTTACTGACATGCATGAATATGAATTTGCATATGCTCTATGTATCCAATGGTCATAAATAGTTTCAGATAATTTGTCTTTGTTTAACTGAGGGCAAAGTTTAAATCAGTTTATTTTGGTTTTTTGAATAGCCATGTAATGGGCTAAGTCTTTTTCTATTTTGTTGTCAGTGAATTTAGGGATATTTGGCAGCCATAAAAAGCTCATCGAAAACATGTAAGTGATGTAAGTACATGTGACCAATTAATGACTCCCCAGCTCACAAAACTTACACGGAGCTGGATTTCAGTAAACGACATGCATTTTTTAATCTAATAGTTTTTGTTGTTGTCTCATTGGTTGAGTGGGTTGCATTACAAATCACACCTTTGTTAAAGCTAGAATTGCTCTTTAGCTTCATTCTGGATGGGTTTCATCAAGACACCGTGTACCAGAATGACCATGGATTGGAGCTGTGCATTGCCAGTTTGTTTCTTAGATTAATATTTCTTGTTTTCACTTTTCGCCCCTGGATGTCATCTGCATGAGAAACATGGGAGACACATTTCAAAGCTTATAGTAAATCTTCTCTGTAAGGCTGTGTCTGGCATGGTTGGAGGGAGTAAGGCTGAGTCATCATTCAGATGCAAGCTGAGCAGCTGGAAGTGTGTTGCCATCAGAAATCAGTCTCAATGACTGTGCCATGGAAAGCCAGGCATGGATTTTTGACCAGTTAAAATTTGGTAGCAATCCAAATGGGTTGTTTTTAGTTAGAAGGGGCCTGGTTTTTGTACTCTTCCTTGTACCAGTGTCACAAAATAGCATCATTATGTAACTCAGTGGTGTGAGCTACAGTGCGAAAAGAAATCAGGCTTCATTTGGTTTGTCTGGTTTGTGGATGCTGTGGAGATCTGACCTCTCTTCATATATGCTTGGCTCATGAGAAAGTTCTGAAGAAGCTGAAAATTCAGTACAGGCCATAAAATCAAAAGTATGTTCTGCCTAAATGCTCTTATTCCAATAATTTCCTCTTCAGATATGAGGGAAAGGGATAGACTTGAATTTCTTACGCATTTTCTGAACATCCCTTTTACTCTGCGAGGGTTTAGGTGTGATTAGTTCTTGGCTACATCTTGCTGATGCTCTGTCGGAGTTGCACTCTGACTAGCTGACGTCAGAGTGGATCGTCAAGGCTGATATTTGGGTGTGAGGGAGACTGCTCTGTACTGAGGTTACCTACCCCTTAAAGCACCCATGTGCATTGGGATAATCATTCTACAAACTAATAAGCCATACCCCTCTTCTTGCTCTTGTTTGGTTTTTTTTTCCTTTATCACCTTCTTCCGTCGTATTCTGCTTCTTCTTCTTCCCTCTTCTTCTCATTTTTCCCTGCAGTTCATTTCCTGCCCTATTTCTTTATCTCTTCTTCTCCCACTGCAACGTTCCTTCCCTAGCTGTCATGAAGATGTGTGATAATGTGGTAAACTGGAGCTGGATCCCCTTCCCTGCTCCTATCTTCCACTCCTAGTGCTGCCTTCCCAGGTCCTTTGGCACTTATCAGACGGGGGGGAGTAGAAGTAAAGGAAGTATCACGCTACGAGGCGAATGCCACCTTGACCCTTCCTATTTCAGTACGTCTTTAACTGTCAAGTATTAGACAAATACCTAATGGCTAGGAATGACTACTCAACCTCTTAACTTTGCAAAGGTTGAATACATGTAATTAAGTCTTTCTCTGAAGCACTTGATTTAAAATGGAACTTACTGCTCTCCCCAGACCTTCCTCGCTCCTGAAAACATGTTGCAAAATGTTGTTTCTCTTTCCCCTTTTTCCTTTCTGGGGGTTTCTAGACTCTCCTTGGCATTAGTTATGGTCCCAGTGCAAACTTGGTGAAGCGCAGAACCAGCCACGGAAGCATATTCAGTTTCCGACTCCGTGGCAGAGACACTGGCTCCGAAACAGATTTTGCCGATGATGAGATCAGCACTGCTGGGGAAAATGAAAGCCACCGGGGCTCTCTCTTAATTCCAAGATCTGGGAGGCGTCCGAGCGTGCAAAGTCAAGTGAGCCATAGTTCTCACCCTACTACTCCCAACTACACCCAGACGGGCAAAAGGAACAGCTCAGTGGATTGCAATGGTGTGGTTTCCCTGATAGGAGGAGGCACCGGGGCACTCAACCCAGACCCTACTTCTCCTGCAGGGTTACTGCTCCCCCCAGTTATTATGGAAAAACCTGGGACAGGCGACCTGGTGAGTACTTTATAACTTTTGTATGTGATTCACGCTCTTGTTTCCTTCTAAATGTTGTTGGAGTTTGCTGTAATTGATTTACACAATATGCAGTCTGCAGTGAGGAACCCAGACCCAGCATCCGAGGCAGGGTGGGAAGACAACGGGCTAACTCCCACAGCAACGGGCGTCTAGTGCTGCATAAGAGAGGTTCATGACTTCTGGTGAGACTTACTCTTCAGAGCTGGCTGGAGGCAAATACCTAAATCTTGGGTTTGATATGAATTTTCTTTTCCTGTAGGGACATTTTTTAAGTTGGTTTCTTTCGACATTTGAACATCTGACATTGTCCAGTGGCTAGAAAATGATGTTTTTAAAATGATTCAGTGTGAGTCTTACCATCTTGAGCCCGCATTTTCTCCCACTGGTTGCTATCTGTTTGCATCTAACCTCTGGTCTTCTGTATAGCTACTTGTGGAGGGCTGTTCTTACAGTCCAAAGGTAGTTCCCAGAAGGGTTTAGCATCCAGTTCAAATAACACCCAGGAAAGATGAGCAGATGATCAGCAGACTTCAAGCGTTTTCCAGATTGCCAGGATCTTTGTTGCAAAGCACCACTGCTGCAAAATATTTAATAAGGTCTTAAATAAAACTATTAAGACTGATACCATTAGGACCCAAGCAGGAATTCACTTGGAAAACCATGAGATGGTGTTTTGGAAATAGCTGCTACACAGGCAGGACAATTTGGACAGGTTGCCAGTTTGATATGGTGGGAATTTATCTCTTTTAATGTAGATAATCTACATTGGAGCTCATTATTCTCATCAGTCTTCAAAGCAACAGAGGTCTAGTCGGTACAGTCAGTGTGGGCAGGATTTCTTTCATCTTAGAGATCTAAAATGGGTCAGAATAATCTCTCGCCCTAAAAGTGCCTCTTTCTGTTCACTTTAACTACAAGGGGAGCCCAAGGTGAATAACTCTATATTGCGCATGTCTCAAGTCAGGTGAGATGAAACCCACTCAGAGTAACAAGGTGCCAAAAACGGGTTACATTAGTGGGGAAATAAGGAAATGTGATTCTAACATGTATTAGGCAAGGTATTTCCTGAAGAGAAAGGCGAGTGAGATGGATCCCAGCTGTGGTGTCAGATTATCAGTAAATTGAGAAGTAGCTTTTTTTTTTTCTCTAGAGCCAGGCAGCTTCTTCCCTTTTAAGCTTTGGATTGAATTTTTTTCCTCACCTATCCGGGTATTCCCTGTAGTCCTGAAAATAGACTCTCACACTGTATGAGAGAGGAGGGGCTGTGCTGCATGTGGGAAACTGGGTGGTGTGAAAATTATCTGTTTTGTTGACAGTTTTGAGGCTGTTGCTGCTTTTTCAGATGTTCACACCTTCGTTCATTTAGGACTTCGGTACTCCCATTTTTACTCTCTGCAGACAAGTAAGACCCGTCCTGAGAGCAGTCTCTAGGCAGCTGAGCAACAGAAACACTATTTGTAGACAGTGGAGTTTTATTGGACTTAGCTTGGTGCAAAGAAAGCTGTGCATTAAAGGAACTGTGGAAGAAAGAGTTTGCGCATCTGTTTGAAAAAAAAATCTGAACCGAAGTAGAAAGGCTTCAGCAGATGAGCAGTGGATGTCCCCCTTTTGTCTGTAAGGAAAGCAGCTCTGCGGGTGCTGAGGCTCTCCCAGCTGTCAGAAAAAGCTTAACAAAGCATGAGAGCACTCAACCTTTCACAGGCAATATTGGTATTTTACAGGATTGGGCCCTGAGGTGACAGGGAGGCTTTGAGCTCTGCTGGCATTTCTTTTCAATTGTCAGCTTCCTGCCTTTTAAAAAAAATGCATGTTGAAAATTAAATGGCCCGGGTGGGTGAGCTCGCTTGGCAGTTCCCTGGTCATCTAGGAAATAACACCCAGGCACTATAGTAACAGATGCTCGTTCAGTGATGCAATGTGAAGGATGTTGTGTCTTCTGCAAAGCAGGTTTGGTATCTAATCTATCCAGAAAATGTGAGCTGGAGTTAAAAGCTAATTGGCAAGAAGCCCATTGCTGTACAGATGTATTCGCTGCGGGAACCATAAGCGCTGGGCACAAACGTGCAGCCTCAGCTGTGGAGCACAGGCAAAAGGAAATAGCAAATCCAACACCTCAGCGTGCTCAGAGATAAATCAACATGCTTCTGAGCTTTGTGTTTGATTATTTTTGCCTTTTTCTTGTTAAAATTTGAAGTTGAGTTTGTTCTTTGTTAGCAGTTCCGGCTTCTTTTTATAGTCTCTTGAATGTTTTGGGGAGGCAAAAGAAAGATGTTGCAGCATGAAGTTGAAGTTACCTCATTAACCCCACTGACCCTGCTGTTGTTATTTATTTTGTACGAGTCTAAGCCCACGGTGAAAAAGGACCCACTTGTGCTATCTGTTGTATCTTCCCTGAACAAGAAACAAAGGACCAGTCTATGAAAAGCCATCACTGTAATATGCGTTAAGCCCTGACTTGCAGCTTTTTGAGGTGCAAGTGTGGCTTCGCTGATGTAAATGCAACCTCTGAGGTGATGGAGCTGACAAAACATGTTTTACAGCATTAGGTTTTGAAGGCATACTTGTTTAGGTCCCTCTGTGATGCTCAGTAGTATCAGATGAGCATAACACAGACCTGTCTGATTGCTACTGAGGGGGGAGACCGCTGAATTCTGGGGAAAGCTTGGAAAAGCCCTTCTGATTTAAAAGGCAGAGTAAACATCAAACAAGATCTGACCATCTCTGGTTTTGAGTTTCCAGCCTGCAGCCCTTAAGCAGACCATAGTTTCAGCAGATGATTTCAAACTGGGCCCTCCTAAGGTTTCTCAGGGAAAGCGCAAAAAGTCACTAGCCACATTTGAGAATTTTAGCCTGATCAGTTTTGGCAACATACAGCCTGAAGATTTTACCCCAGGCAAAGTAGTTGGGACCACGATGAACAACTTTCATGCCTTTGTGTTATTGCAACTGCTACCCCCTGTCCCAGCCAAGGGCTGTTTGCCCATGGCAATGGCTGTGGGTAGCAGCTGAGCTGACATGAAGGTACCCATGCTGCTTGTTCCCTTTCCCATGAGCGAGGCGGCTGCAGCAGATTATCCCACTATTCAGACTGGTGACTCAGAAGAGTGGTCTCCTGATACTTGGCTGAAGAAGAGCACGTAAGTTAAAAAAGCCAGTTTCAAATGCTCTTCAGTTGGCCCTGGCTGCTTGGCATGGAGGGTTGTGAGTATGCTGCTGTGAGAAACCAAGTGTGCTTCCACTTTTCATCTCCTCCCCCTAATCCCTAAATACAGCTAGTGAAACAGGAGAGATTTCCAATAATCTCAATGGATGATGCTTAGGCCCATCAGTCTTGTCAGCTGGGATAGTCTGACTGGTCAGCAGGCTTGCTGGCCATGAATGGCATGGTCCATGTGGAATGGAATCTGTCCATGCAATCACCAGGGGTTTCAGTGCACAGCCTGAGCAAGAGGAGGGACATCTTCTCCTCTGCAGGAATCCCATGTGTCTCTGCACACTTTGCTACACTCGTTGATGTTCCCATGCCACATAAGAGCACCCGCAAAGAGTGGTGGCGGCGTTGTTGGGGAGCTGCCCTTGGCTCTGCACTGCCCTGCAGTGTTCAAGCTAGGAAGCCCACTGAGGTCATATGAAGAGCAAAGTAGTGCAATATGGAAGTATGATCTGCAAACACCCTCCTCAAAGGTGGCTCTGGGTCAGGCAGTCTTCGCCTGGATGTGTTCAAGTCTGAGGGGTGCGGGGAGCTTGTCCCAGGAAACCCATGGTAAGTCCTAGTCACTCTCCGGGAAATCTCCAGTCTATCCTGCAGAGGACTGAATCAGGGCTGGTCCTGTTCTCCTACCAGCTTTCTTCAAGTGGTGCAGCTGCTGATTTCATCAAACTTACCCTAATGTAAATAAGACACAAGCAGGACCTGGTAACTATGCTTGAACTCCTTTTTTTTTTTTTTTTTCGCTTGTCCTGCGACTGAGAGGTTTGAAAAATGATACGTTTTTATGCCTCTGCTGATTGCTGGGCTAGGAGTTTGGGCTTTCGCCCTTTTTTAGTGAAGTAACTTACTTCAGGGCACACGACAAACTAAAGTTTCTGTGCATTCTTGTAGTATTTATTTGTAGCTATGTATCGCTCTGTTGTGTCTTGGTGTTTCTTAGTTATTTAAGAGGTCAGCAAGGTGTTGATCTGTTTGAACAGAATTGGATTAAGTTAATGAGCTGTTCTCTGGAGCTCAATTTATCCATGGGATCTGATGAGGATGAGTAAGATGTCACCTGTGGTTTTCAAGAATTTCTTGAAGGTTAAAAATATGTATGGCAGCATCCCCTCTTGCCTCCTAAAGTCAACTGGAGCCCTTTCTGTAACTCTGCAGGGATGTCACAGGGGTTTTTTGGTTTAGCCTGACATTCCAATTATTTTGGAGATTAGAAGTGGCAGAGAAATGGACATGGGACTGAGGAGGTGGTTGTTTGCAAGTGGGCAACTGGCTGTTAGCTGGTGGTCTCCATTGCTTCGTTCTCACTTGCTCACCAGAGCTTCCCATCAGCCCAGCAGCGGAGCAGGGCCACCCAGGACATGGCTTTGGGATGAGGAGCGAGGTGGAGGTTGGAGCTACCTGGGGTCTCCCTCTTGCACATACAACCTTTCCTGAATTTCCTCTTGGTTACACGTATTTTTTTTTCTTTTGGGAAACTAGAAATGCCGAATATTGCTAGCTTGACAGGAGTGAAAACTACTGGGGAATGAGCCCTTAAGAAAGGCCAGACTGCTTATCGAGGTGCCAAACTAAGGATTTAGAAGCTTGTCTTCAGATAAACTTTTTTGGTCTTTTTCATAAAAAAAAAAAAAAGACCTTGGCTTTTGTTCTCGCTAAGCATAAAACTGTTTTGCTGACCACATTGGTTTGAGCTTTTATTGTTGACCCTAAAACCGCCTCAAGATAAAATTTCTTTCTTCCCCTTTTTGCTTTGCCATGGGACTGGTGAAAAGGCAAAGCGTTAGCAGTTTCCATGTTCAGAAAAAGGTCAACAAAATAAGTCATCAAAAAATCGCCACCAAGAAGTCATTTGGATGAAAGCTAGCTAGCCCTCTGCCACTGTTGCACAGAGAGTTGTCACTATGGCTCTAGTTTCTCCTCATTTCAAACTTTGCTTTAGCACATCCTAAGCGTAAATCATTCAGATTTGACACAAATATTGCAAGCTGCTCCAGTTCACAGTGCATCTCTTTAAATAATCAAGTATCCACAAAATTAAATGCCTTCTTTTTAATGCTGTGCGCTATTATGATCACCTTCAATCTCATTAAATATTTGTGCTAGTGCCTTACTGGGTCCATTGTTCATGGTGTGGCCTGTCCACCTCTTTTTATGCTTGAAAAGATTTTTACTGTACAAGGAAAATTAAACCTGTCCCAGTTCCCAAATGTGGTCTTTAAAATTCTGCCATGTATAAGCCCATCTTCGCATAACAGTTTTGACATAATTCAGAACTGTAGGCACTCCGAAGAAAATAATTCTGCAATGTTATGCATCCTCATTTACATGTAAATTACTGAATAGTATATTTGTCCCTACAGAATTTAGCTAATCCAAAGGAGAAACATTTCCAGTCAATCAGGGAGCAACACAAATAATCTTGTCCTGCTGGAGGTGCCTGTGTTTAACTCCATTGTGATTTCTCATCTGGATCCTAAGGAGACTCCTTGCATAACTGTAGGGACTGTTCTTATTTTTGCTTCATTTCTATAGAAATATAAGTACAATGAACAACTCTATATATTCTCTTTGTAATGATCATAGCCTCTATGCTGCCTTGTTTGTCCAGTTCCTGGAACTGCTCTCTATCTCAGAGTGCAAAACCTGCCAGTTCCTTGCGTGACTATTAGCTAACTCTCTTCTAAAATAAATAATAAAAAAAACACCTCACATATCTATTCTTTACAAAGAACAAAAGCTCATAAACTTCCCTAAGTAACTTCAATATTTTTAAGCAATTCACCTGGATGGAAACTTTCTTTCCTGGAAAAAATGCTTTATAGTAAATTGCAAGCCGACTATGTGATAGATTTACTGCTCTATTGGTAAAGAGACCAAGTCCTCCTGCAAGAGCACAGGAGTATTCCTTACACCCCGACATTGCCTGCCAGACACTGTGTTCCGGCTCTGGGGATGAACCTCCGCTGTGTGCCCGCTGCCGAGCAGCAGGCTTTGGGCTCTGCCCTCCGGCGGGGGCACACGCAGCTGGACGGGTGGGTGGCTGTCACACACAGTAGCATTTGCTATGAACACAAGCCAGCAGCAAATTGCACCACCTCGCCCCTCCAGAGATGAAGGAAAAGAGCCATACACACGTCTCCTTCAGAAATACCCTTTTGCATGCGGAGGATGGCACATTGCAAACAGTCCCCTTGACTCCAGCAGGACTCCTGAAGTCTTGGGGACCGCTTCTCATGACGCAGGTGGCAGGATTGTGGATGCTGGGCTGGAAAGAAAAATAGAGTGATGTAAAAAACTTGTTGGGTTGAGAATATCACATCAAACCTAGAGAAAAAGTCAATTCCCTGCTGTTTTTTTTATGAAGGGTATGCCAAACCTGTTTAACTTGGACTTTTCATTTAGCCTGGTTTAACTGAATCAAAAGAAAGGAAGAATGAATCTCTGAATGTTTTTCCTTTGACTTTTTACCTCTGCAGTGAATTCTCTTTGCACCTGTGAGTAAAAGGTGGCTTTCAGATAAAGGCCGCCAACCCATAACTTCTGCACGCACTTCTGCATGCTTGAATAGGAATATAATATCTTTCCTGACAGTCAGAAAACTGGTACTTCTGGGGATGAGGTTGTCTAAAGGCATGTGACTGGTATGTGCTAAGCTTTGGGTCAGATGGGATGGGAAGAGTACAGTTTAAAGAGAGTTAGATGATCCAGAGGAATTTGAAATTTGAGGTTTTCCTATGGTTCATTCTACAGACAGAGGGAACTGGAGAGCTGGGGTTTTGTTTGGGTTGTTTTTTTTTTTCTTTTTCTTTGCTTTTACTTTTTTGGTTTATTCTACTGAGAAATTTGATTTTTATGTCCTTGCCTAGTTATTTCTTTTCAGTCTCATGTATTTGTTATGTACGCCAAATTGGTGCGAATGATTATGCAATTTTGTAGATGCTTTCTTCATTAATAAAACATCTGTTGTTTCTTCGTTTTTTATTGGATGTTTTTGAGGTGAAGGGAATCAAGCAAACTAACATATCTGAAATACTGTTCCTGGTTTCCCCAGTTCCTAAGCCAAGGATAGAATGTTTTCTTGTTATGTTGTGCACAAGTAGGAATCTCTTTGAATAGGTTCTGATTACACCTCTCCTTTTGAGATGACTGCGTCAGTGACTCAATGGACAATGAGCCAATTGTTTTAACAAAAGAGAACATTTTATTTAAAAAAAAAAAAAAGCCATTTTGAAGCATTACTGCTTTCCTGGCTTAGCTAATGTTTTATGTGCTTGCTTTAAAAGTCCTTACTCTTCTCTGGTCTTGCAGTGATTGGTATTTTTAACTGCAGTACTTTGAAGTGATCTGGGACCAGTATCCTGGCTATTTTCAGTGTCAACCCGTGGCCAAGTGGCTTTGTCCTTTGCAACCACCTGACAAGGGGATGTCCCCTGCCCTGAAGAGGTCACACTCCAGAAAGACAGCTCATAGAGCTTCAGCGTTTTTCTCCTGCCGTTCTCATGGAATTGCCTTTCTTGAAGAGCAGTTTTGATAGAGAAATGGCCAAGAGGAGGGATTCTGAGTCCCTCTGGGTGCATGTCCCAGGCACAGACAGCAGAGCTGTGAAGCTGCTGCCCATGGCAGGTCTCGGTTGGCATCCTGGGTGCTGCTCGGGGTGGTTAGGGCCATTTCAGACCCAAGTGATGAGAGAAAATCCAGAAGACTGAATCCAATTCCTGTAGCTCATTTGACTATGGAGAAGCAAAAGCAGCTACTCTGACATCTGTATAAACCAGAGGTTTCCATCTTCATAGGAATCTCTTCTCCTTTCACATTTCCTTGAGCTATATTGCAAGAGCCGTCAGGACCCATCTATCTAAAGTGCATCTCTCTTGCTTTCATGGTGTCTCGGAGCTCACAGTCTGTATTCTTGGAGGAGCAGGACAGGGGCTTTTAAAATATTTATTTTGGGAGACTGAGTGTCTTGACCAAGGAGGTCTGAGACAGAGAATGGTGTTGAACTTGGCTTTCCCAGATCCTTACACCTTAACCACCACGTTTTCTTCTACCTGTGGGAGAGCTGGAGGAGTAAAGCAAGAAGGATTTTTCTCCGTATGAAGTGGGAGCTTGTAATAATAAAAGTCTTAACATCTTGCTCCTGTGAGCTGACAATATAAAGTATTTAGCAGTGTGTCTCTGCAGTCCAGTGTTTCTGGCTGACTTCAGAAACCCAAGCCTTCAGAAAGCATAAAACTAATTTAAAATGAAACATTAATTAAAGACAGTTTGGGAGTTCTGTTTTTCTGGTATTTTAGTTCTTTGGGTGTTTGTGGGGTTTTTTTTTTAGCTTTTACTTGAGAAACATGAGAACTAGATAGTTTGGGTTATTTTTTATTTTTCCTGAGGAAAAAAGAAGCTGAGATTCTCTCCTAATTACAGAACTTCAGAATCCGTGACACCAAAGATCACCAGAATGACAATATGTTCCTGAGATTTGGCAGTGTTTCAGAACAAGAAAAAACATGTGTTGAGGAGTCGGTTTGCTTGGTATGATATCAGGGGCCTGTAATGGAGCTGTTACCCACACCCCTTTTCCTCTTCTAGCAATATAATTAAACAGTTAACACATTTCAGAAATAATGGAATAATTAATGTAATTAAGCAGGGCTTCTTTCACAAGCAAAGAGCATGGTAAAGCAGCACTGCTGTTTCTCCGGCATCAGAAGCGTCCTTTTATTTTCACCTGCATCTTTCACCTATTTACATGAAGGTAAAGGGCAGGGCAGTTTCCAAAATTGCTCAAAGTACCATTTTCAAAAGCAGTACCCCATCAGCGTGTGTCTAATTGGGAAATCAGTGAGCTTTGAACTTCTCAGATGGGAAAAACAGTGCTTAGGCAATTTTGAAAATGCTACCTCATATCTGCCTTGTTTTTATTCTGCTGATCCAATGTGTTCATTCAAGCAGACCTCTCCCTCGGACGAGGCAAGCAAGAAGCAGTTTTTAATGCCCCACCGCCCGTCGGTGGATCACTCGGACGAACCCTTTCAGAGGCAGAGGGCAGTGAGCGCTGTCAGCATCATCACCAGTGCCCTGGAAGGTAAGACGCTTCTTTAGTTCCCCAACTCAAAGCCATATGCCTGTTGACTGGCAGGAACAAAGCGACACAAAAGACCCTAATGTTAAACTCCCGTTGTTTTGCAAGAAGGCATTACAGATAGATATTGCAGCCCCTACAATATAGGTGAAGCTGTAATAGAAGGCAGTATAATCACTATCTTACCCATGGACTTGTAAAAATCCTGACAAAATGCTGGCCATCACAGTCAGACCTGGTAACGTTTTGTGCCCCCGTGACATTTGATTTACACAGGGCTAACTAAGATGCAGGGTAGTGGAGCACCAGACTGTCTGGGTGATTGTACATACATTTTTATCTCATCTCTCTGGAGATGATGCGAAGCCTGGCGTGTGCAGTCACCAGCTACATGCAGAACTTCCAAGTAGTGGATGAGGAAAGTCTCCTCCTTGCAGAGCAGCTACTGGGACACAACAGTATAAAAAAAACAATAAAAAATAAAACAATATAAAGTAGCAGAAAAAAAAGCAGTTGAGTCTAATTTTACTTTTCCTTTTGCAAATGTCTTTCAAAAACTATTAGATCTGTTGTGATTTCTAAAGGTCACCTGTTGTGGGGAAAGGATGTGGGTTCTTGATTGATTTAAACCATTTTAATGCCACATCACTACCAAAAGAGGACAGTCACACCTTTCTTCACCCCTTGCTGTGTTCCTGCAATTTGATTTGACTGTACAAGCAATTGGTTTTCAGCTGGATCAGCGAGCAGAACCAGCTCACCCAGAAGGTCCAGGAGCACAAAAGCTGGCAAAAGGACAGAGAAATTACATGTGGCTGAGAGGGATGAAACTACCCCTTTCAGCAGCAACCTGGACTTAAAGGGGCTTGTGTTGAGTGTGGAGCCTCAGAGAAGGGTCACACATCTGATGTGTGTCCATCATGAAGGTCCCAAAATTAGTAACAGTGAAATAAGCAGGGTTGGTTAGAAGTGATTATGAGGAGTATGGATATAGACAGATGTGTTCTTCTGGATTTACCTGGAAAATTAGGTCCATTAGGAAGTGACCGCCCCGAAGTCTTTATTACTTCAAGGTGGGTTTCCAAAAAAATGAAAAATTAGGATTTTGCGTTGAAATAGTTTGGGGTACGGATGCTTCTCACATAATTTTAGGCACTTACCTGTAAACCCCCTGTTTGGAGTCTGGAAAGACATAGTTATTTCTTGGGAGCAATTTGGTTTCCCAGAGATCTCAGAGCAGTATAGATGTTTGTGCAAAACCTGTGCACGGAGGACATCATCCGATATTTTGAAAGCTTGCTAGAAGACATCTAATACCGCTGTTCTGTTGTCCAATGAAGGAAAATGCACAGAGAATGCATCCTGGCTTAAGAGAGCAGGCTGTTTAGAAACTGATTGAAATAACAGCCTTGGCTGAAGTTTTCCTGTTATCAGTGCAGGTTCTAATTATATAGACTAAAACTGTTATGCAGCATTCCATGCCCATAAAGGAATCAGAAAAGGAAAGCATTAAGCAATTCCTCTAATCATTATCATTCAACCACTAACTGTCTTTTTTGGCTTTTCTTTTTCACTGTTTAACACAAATTATATGTATAAGGCTATTTCACTTCCTTTGTGCTCAAATAAAATGAACATATAAAAGTTGTATTTTAGGTAATATTTTACAAGCACCTTTAAAAACCATACTGGAGCTTTAGCAGCATTTTCAAACTGACTTATGCACTCTCCTGATTTTGTACGTGGGCCTTTCAGAAGAAAACAGATGCTTGATGCCTTTTTGGATGGCACATCAGGAACAGAAACCCTATTGATAACCAGTGATACTCTGGCTCTCAAGTGCTTAAATCAGCTCTAAATATTGGATTTAAGCTCTTTCATTTCTTAACCGCTTTAAAAGGTATTACTTAAGATACTTCTAAAATGGGGCCTGGGAATGAAAAAAATATTTTCCAATCTAAGTTAAATGAAGATAGTGTATTCTTATCCATTTGAACTTGCCAAAATGGAAAACAGAGTAAAAATCTGAGCCTATATATAATACTAGACTTTACATATTTAGATTCTTCATTTTTGCTTGTGACACTTCTAAAAGGCTATTACTTTCAGAATAGGTCACTGTCTGCTAAGTGCAGATCAACTGGCAAAAAACCCAAAGTGTGTAATTTGCCAGCCTCTTAGGACAGAAACATTTTTATCCTAAAAAAAAGTTTGGGTTAATGTAGGGGCCTTTCTCTATGTTATGAGTCATTTTAAGTGTTCTCTTGTCATATAACTCAGTGTGAATTGACTGTTACTTTACTGCTTGTGACTTAGAGCTTGAGGAATCACACCAGAAATGTCCTCCCTGCTGGAACCACTTTGCTGTTAAATTTCTCATTTGGGATTGCTGCCCCCTTTGGCTTTTAATCAAGAAATTTGTCAAGTTTGTGGTAATGGACCCATTTACCGACCTCACCATCACCCTTTGCATCGTGCTGAACACGTTCTTCATGGCCTTGGAGCATTATAAGATGACAAAGGAGTTTGACCACATGCTTTACATAGGCAATTTGGTAAGTGAACGTGAACTTGAAGTGCTACCTGAGGAGTCTGTTTCCTGCTTGTTAAGGTTTTGGCTGCAGCGTGGGAAGACCCCGTTTTGATACGCTGTCAGCATCGCTTTGCCTGTGACATGTCAAGAGAGTCCACGTAGTCACCTCTTTCTGGGGGTGAAGAGAAATAAATGAAGGGCGAGGGTCTATTTTTATTAAACTAACATATTATAATGTTATTAGTAGCCATTAAAGCCATGTTTTTGGGCTGTGCCTGGTAGGTTTCTAGTTTGTATCAGTTTAAGAAAATGAGGTAAGAGAAAGGTTAATGAGGTTTATTTGGGATTTCTTTTAAAGCAATGATAAGGCGTCAGTTCTTGGTGACTAATAGTGAATTTTAAGTTAAAAAAACCTACAGAAAAAAAAAAGGCCAGATCTTGGAAGGAAATAGAGTGGTGTTTGAGCGTATCTAGATATGTATGCGGGAAAGTGCCTATGGTACATTTCCTGTATGTCCCTCTATGTCCTGCTGTGCCTCCCCGCCTTGTCCAGCTGTGTGTGCTGGGTCCCAGGCAAACCCCAGGGCAGAGGGGACATGGAGCAAAGCATGGCTGATGCTTCGAGGGGAAACTCTTAATGTGCAAGCTGGAGCAGCCAGAGAGAGAGCTGCAAAGTAAGCAGCACTTCTCCGAGGAAAAGCAGAGTGACAGATCTACAGCCAAGCTGCAGGGACAGCAGAAAAGCCTTTCCAGAGGCGATATGGTACAATTTGTTAACCCAGGGGGCCACTAAAATTCTGCAGTTACTACAAAACGGAAGCTTTTTCTTTAATCATCTTTCTCTGTGTTTATGTTTAAAAGTTACTGTGGTTTACTGCTTTAAAACTTAATGTTTAAAACCCTTTTAATTTTAGAATAGTCTGTATTGGAAAAGGCACATGCCATCTAGCTATGGCGTGGTGGAATTGCCCCTAAAATCTATTGGTAGAAGCAGAGATATCCTATAGGATACCATAAGTAAATATGGAGTACCCTGGAACATGGATGCTGCCAAGTTTGAATTGGAGAAGCTCATAGCAGAGATGAGAAAAGCCCTTTATTTCTGTAAAACCGAAGGCTGCAGTATCTCCAAGTGGGATTCACCTTGCCTAACTTTAGGTATTTACAGCGTAGGAGTCTCTGTCGGAGCTGGTTGCCTTTGTCTCCCTTTAAAGTCACTGGAGAGCAATGGACAACTTTAAGGCACAATTAATGTGATGTTTTAAAGACATTTACTTTTGGATAAGGTGAACTGTGTCCTGGAGGCCGGTGACTGTAGTGACCATCAACTATAGTGGGAGTATGCAGAGACATTACAGATGTGATGTCTGCCTTTACTGAGAAGCATCCTATGCTGGCAGGTTTAGGTGGGTGGTAGCAACAACCAGACTTTTTGCATCAGTGCTAGAATATGTGGTACATCACATAGGGATTTTTTTCTTTACGCTGGTCCTTGTTGGGCCTCCTTGGGCAGGTTGAGGTTCTTCTCCTAGGCTGTGGGACCAGTTCCCTGTTTTTCAGCTGCTGTGTCTTGGCAAATCTCTTTCTGTTGTTGTGCTAAGCAAAAATCTGTTTGGGTCTCTCTTGCTCCAAACCCATGCTCTTGCCCTCTGTGGAAAGCAGTAGATAAAGGTAGCTCGGAAAGTCATCTCACAGGACTGCATCCAGCTCCACTTTGCAGCCAGCCTTCCTTATTGTTGCTCAACACTTTGTGGCTTTCTCAGATGACTTAAAAAAACTCCTTCAGACCTGGTATCCATCAGAGCAGGTGGCAATGCTGCTGTTTCCCCCTCTGGCACTCCGGATAGTAAATGTGTCTGCTCTTTGCTCTGCTTTTGGCAGATCAGCTTCTCCCTTTGCAGACCACAGGCAGTGAAACTTTAGCCCTTGGCATCCCTCCTGCCAACACGGCTCCTGCAGACCTGCTGGGGATGAGCGGGGCTGTGCCGGGTGCCAACGAGGAAATAGAGGCAACGAGCAGGGGGAGGAATTGCAAAGCAAAAAAAAAAAACCCCAAACAATTCCCTCACTGTGAGTTTCTCAGCACTGCCTAGAGCTATTTCTTCTCTTTGTGCTGAAGTGTAAAATAAGCAAAACAGCCTGCTAATATTTTTTGTAGCAGGCTGATGGCACGGGGCCCCCCTTCCCCTGAGATCCCAGGGTGGGTCTGTGAGAGGCCAGACCGTCCCAGCTCCCCCTCGCCAGCTTTTCTAAACCCCTGCATAACTGGATTGATTGCAAGTAGAGCAGGTCGGAGGAAAGTAATTTCCTTTTGGGGAGAATTTTGCAAAGTCATTTGTCATGAAAATTAACATTTTTTTGCAATCCCCTGTGAAAGGGAAGGGAGTCCCAGCCCCAGGGCAGGCTGCCAGGTGACTGCGTCCCCCAGGCCGCGGCCTGCCCGACCCCTCCTCTGCCCCCGCGCTGGCTGGCTGTCGGCTTCCCATTGCACCTAACCCTCTTTGAGTCATTATACTAGCATTAAACGGGGGGAAATATTAAAAAGGCTAGATCTTTGGCATTTTTTCCTCAAAACAAATGTTTCTGAGAGAAGTGAAAGAATGAAAAGTGGAATATGGATTCGCTTTCTCCGAGAGCGACTCTTCATCGGCTGCCAGTCGTTGGAGATCTCCCGCTCTGATCGTCCGCCTGCTTCATCCAGCACCGGCTCCCTTCGGACTCCTTTAGTTCGTCACTTACAGGAATCAACATTTTCAAATGCGATCAGAAGGCCTGACAAGCACATGTACATCTTTACGCGGTTCATCTGCCTATGCAGTGCCACCGCTTAAAAAATAGGTAGATAGAAGAAGATTTTCCCAGTTTTTGTTTTCCTTTACAAACTGAGATACCATTATGCAATATGAGAGCTTAAATAGCTGAAATGGTAGATAAAAGAATTTTTTTTAAGACAAAGTCCTCCAAATCAACAGTGGCATATTTAGCACCAGTGGGATGTTACGTTACTTGTTTTTTCAGCCTTTATAGTATTGAGGATCCAGCCTCTTGTACAAGCGCCGTCACCACGTACCGGCGATGTGACAACTGCCGTTTGAAATTCGTAGCTGGTACACGTACTTGATTCCTGATACCTTTAGGAAGGCTCAGACATTTTGCAATCATACTGTGACATTTCCTTCTCAGAAGGCTATTGATTAAAATGATTCAGGCAAAGAAAGTGATCCTCCTGAGTCATTTCTCAGCAAGATGGTTGCATAATGTACACAGCGTGGTATCATGGTTTTTAAGACAGTCCCCTGGATACAATTTCACGGACGTCCCGTTTTGTCTTGTTCTCCGTCCTGAGAGAAATTGGAGCATTCTGGTGGGAATCTTTGGTATCTCTGACCACCATGACTCAGGAATTGTTGACCAGTTAGAAATATGAGAAAGGTCATTGTGTTGGGTTCTTGGTATGAGAGGTGATAGAATGACAGTCCGGATTGTTGCAGTCCAAGGTATTATTTCCCTGATGAGAAAGAGAAGGTATTTTGTATAAGGAATTGTGTAAAATGACTGCTTGGAAGAATTCATTCCTGAAGCATTACAGAGTAAAGCCAAGCCTTCCTCAAATGCAGGCTATGATAATTTATTTTTATTCCTTAATTTCATAATTATATAATCTTAACTTTTCCCTTCCACATCTTAATGGGTTTCTCATCTCTGTTGCTCAGAGCTGATCAGTTTTGCTGGGATAATGCTGCAAATATTCAGCTTATTGGAAGGAAAATATTTCTCCTTGACTGTATGTTACTGATACGTGAGCTTTGGATTCCCCCCTCTTTTTTCACCCACACAGTGCATTAATGTTGATTGTTTCACGGGAAACCATGTGCTTTAATATACATGTACAATAGAGAATTTTTCAGAAACATAAAGCTCTGTGCAGCTCGTACTTGAACTTGGAATGAAAATAAAACAGTATATGAAGAACTTGATGCCCGCATTTTGTCATTTTAAGTTGACTGTAGCCTTGTGTTGTGCATTTAAACTGTTACTTAAGGAGGGCATACGGAAGGACAAGATCTGATTCTCCGAGATACTTTACAGGAATGTGTTAAAACTGAATTTGCTGTCAGCAGCCTTCCCTTCCCCTCTCCCTCTGCCTCATAGGTAATATTTATATGTTGTTGTAAAGAAAAATGTTCCAATTAGAAGTTCCACCATATGACATTTGAACTGGGTCATAAATAAGCAATGTGTTCCCACGATGCTGTGAAAAGAAAATTGCCGTGACTATTTGTAAAAAAAGACTAGGACTCAAATTAGAGTTTCTAATCACCTTCGCTGCCAGCAATAACCTCAGAATGACTGGAGGCTTGCGTTGCCCTGGTATTGATAATAATAACTAAATAAAAACGGATAATACAGCAGGTACACTACAACCCAAATACCCCTTTAACACTCCCATTCCATTCATTCGGGTTTCTCCACCAAAATGAATAGATTTATCCTTTATAAAAGGCACCTTTACACTTTCTTTTTTACCACTGGGATTATTCAGATGATGGAAGGAGATGGAAATGTATGTTCCAATCCAGAGCTGAACTCAGATGTCATTGTAAGTTTACAGCAGTATCAAATATTATTGTGAAAAGACTAGACAAAGTTGTAATAGCGATAAAGAATCAGCCATGAAAAATAAAGTATTTGCTTGTAAAATGATTTTGGCTTTCCGCTGTGTTCACCTGTATCAGTGGAAAGTCTGCAGGCAAGGAGGTATGCCTAAAAAGTTACTTTGACTTCATGTTTTCTTTCTGCAGGTCTTCACTGGGATTTTTACAGCAGAAATGATCTTCAAAGTAATTGCCCTTGACCCCTACTACTATTTTCAGCAGGGCTGGAATATTTTTGACAGCATAATTGTTATTCTAAGCCTGATGGAACTGGGTTTGTCCAGCATGGGAAACCTGTCTGTTTTACGCTCCTTTCGACTGGTAACGGTCTTATTCTGTTCTTACCCCTCTTCTTTTATTACATATAATTTCTGACATGAATGCAACCATTTCTTAAAAACGCATCTACCGATAAAGACTTTAATTGCTGCAAACTCCTGAACAGTACGTGACACTAATTATAGGCTGCGGGATAAATGGAATTGTTCCAGATTTACATCAGGGTAAATGAGAACATAATTTGATTCCTTCTAGCTGTGCCAGGTACTTGTAGCACACTTAAAATGTTTGAGTTCCAATTTGTAATAAAAATTTGCCATTTTATACCTGTACACCTGTTAGCATAGTCAGCAGATAATTGATAGCCCAAGAAATGCAAGAGCCAGTAACTTGTCATTTTAGAAGTTGTTATTCCTAAATTATGTTATAAACATGCCACCGTGCTTTTAAATGTTGTCTCTGAATTATTCACACAGTGATTTTTTTTTTTCTAGAACTGATCAGCATAACATAGCATCTGTCTTTCACGGGAACTCCTTAGCTGTCAGCTCCTTTGTTATGCACGGGATAGTGGTATTCTATTAATGAGACACTGTCGACATATTGGAACAGAAAAGTAGTTTCCTTGCCAGCCTGACATTTGTGTTGCACTTCATGTACCAGGATGTCCATGCTAATCATTTTGGCCATGATATGGCTTCACAACTTGGAAAGACCAGGAAAATAAGCCCTTATGGTTACATTTAGCAGAAGACTTTTTTTTTCCAAAATTCTCTGCCCTGCTCAGAAATGCAAATTTTTCACCGCTGCTGCTAGGTCCTGAGAGTCTCCTGTCAGTTTTTGAGCAATCCCTCTTCAATAGGGCTGAAATTAAACCTTCAGTTGAAAACACAGCACAAGGGCTAGGAACCATTTACATCCTTAAAATAGGTCTTAAGTGGGACGTGGGTTGTGCATAGGCTGCGTGATCCTCAGCACAGTGGTGATTTTCACCCTGGGAGCTAACAGCTAATAGCATCTGGCTGAGGCTTGCTCTGAAACACAGAGGAATTGCTTCTCTCTTTGTGGGATCGAACCCTAAACCCCTTCCCCCAGATGCCTGCCAGGCTATTTAATTTGAGGAGGAAAAGCAACGTAAAAGAAAATATTAAGACCTGGGATTTCCTCCTTCCATCCTCTCCCCACCATGATATTGGGAGAATGAGCCTCTAAAAGCACGTCTATCTAACAAGGCAGAGCACAGCTCTGGAAAGGTTAATTCTCATCCAAAAAGCCCAACTGATATTTTATTAATAGATGAAGTGAGGTTAACGGGAAGCATGGCTAAAATCACCTTGTACTGCACAAACTGTGGCATTTTAACGTCTTTCACGTGTTACCCACTTTAATAATTCATCGGCTGAAATGTCTGTTGCTTCTGTGAACTGACACTGTTGTTTATGTTTTGTTCACAGCTGAGAGTCTTCAAATTGGCAAAGTCCTGGCCGACCTTAAATACGCTCATTAAAATCATTGGTAATTCAGTGGGTGCCCTCGGTAACCTCACTCTTGTGCTGGCAATCATCGTCTTTATTTTTGCCGTGGTAGGAATGCAGCTTTTTGGGAAAAGCTACCTGGACAATGTGAAGAAGATAAGCACAACCGGCAATTTGCCACGGTGGCACATGAATGATTTCTTCCACTCGTTCCTCATCATCTTCCGAATTTTGTGTGGGGAGTGGATCGAGACCATGTGGGACTGCATGGAAGTAGCTGGGCAGCCGCTGTGCCTTCTTGTCTTCTTATTGGTCATGGTGATAGGAAACCTGGTGGTGAGTTCTCAAGATGTTTTTTTCTCCCTTTCCCAGTGGATGTGTGCAAATGTACCATTTTTTTATCCAGAAATGGCAAATCTCACATTGCCCCATGGCTTTAATTCGATGAACCAAGTTGGCACGCAGAGAAACTTGTTCATGTCCCAAGTACAAAATTGATAGCATTGCATTCCTAATTAGGAATGAAGACTTACTGTTTTTTGCAGAAGAACAGATAACGTTTTACTAGAAGAAAGGCATGTGGGCTGGTTATAATGATTTTATTTCTTAGGCCATTCATGGGGCTGAAGGGATTCCAGATCTCTTTTCTATACAGGAGTGAATATCACCTCAATGGTCACTGTATCGGGAGATATTTTTATTTCCCTTCATTTTTGGTCCAGAACACGTGAACCTTACAGCTAGCACAGTGTCTTTGAGTGGAGTTTCAAATGTCTTTAGCCTGCGTGTTCTAGGAAGCTGCAGGTTGTGTTTACAGTAATGTCACTTGCTCGCTTGCTTTTTTAATAGACTATCCCATAAGCATGGCTTACATAAGCTCTGAACCTATTAATACTGAATTGTATTTCCCTGTTGACATCTTATGGAGCGCTTTGCTGGCTTGCAGTCATTGTGGAAATGTTTCGCCTGTTCAGCTTACAGAGCATCTTTGACATTGTGGCTCTAATGGGCTTACTGTTTATGTAGTGAGTTGTTTAACAGTAGATGCTGCTATAAAAAATGTTGGGTTTTGCTACCGATTGCTTTTAGTGATTGTTTTGCTTTTAAGTACCCAATGTTTTGGTTCTCAGCTGCTGGGATAGAGAAGTTCTTGAAAGAGCTTGTAGAAAAACAGAACACATTGTTTTGTTTACATTAATTTATATTTTAACAGTTAGTTTTGCACTGAAAATATTGGTTGCAAGAGCAAATTATATTTTATAGGGGTTTTTTATAAAAGTCAAAATATTAAACTATGATTACTCAGACAGTGGCAGATTACTTATGTTTTTTTCCCTAATTTCCCGTTTCTATAGATTTTTCTTGGAACTAAATGTGATTAGAGGAGTTGGGGCAAATTATTACTTTCTGCATATCTTTTTGGGGAGTTTAGCCTGAGATCCAGAAAGTTAATCTCCCCCTGCCATTAAGCAATGGATTCTGTGTATGATAATGAAACCTGAAAATGATATGTGGTAAATTCTGGGGAAAATGTTAAAATCTGAAATATTTGTGGATTATTGAAAGATGTGAATTTGCAACATCTGATACCCTTAGATATTAGCATTCATCAGTGTGCATAAGTTCTGTTAAATATAAAATCTGATTCAGCAGAGATTGCGCTAACATTATCTACATATATTTAACCTTCAGTGCTCAAAAAAGACTGTCCCAAATGTAAAACCAGATATTGAAAACCTCCGTCAGCCCAGATAAGCTGAAGTTACTGGTCAGCTGAAAGCAAAAATGCTAGATTTATCCTTTTCAGCCAACAATTCTGTAAGCATGCAGCTATGACTGGTAAAAAGGAATTATTATTGTCTGTAGATCACTCAAAAAAAAAAAAGAGGAAATGATTCATAGGTGTGAAAAGAACAACAGGTTCTGAATCATGAGACTCATCCAGTGTCAACTGCGTTACACAGAGATTTCATGATGTTGAGTAGCAGGTAGAAAGAAGGTAATCTTATTCCTCTGACACCAGCAAAATTCTTGGTTTCTTTAGTGAGAGTGGATTGAATTCACAAACTCACTTATTTGCTGAACATCATCAGAGCCAAAAATGGTAGCTGAAAAGCACCACAAACCCTTTAAAATAAGACAACTTGAGCGCTAAATCTTTTACCTGTAACTGGGTTGCAATCTGTGCCAGCGGAGTTTCTCTTTTAACTTGTTGAGATCCTTGTTCCTCCTCTGCATTTCAAGAATCAGCTCTGATAAGAAAAATATTATCCTGAGGTTGTATCTCATTTGGACTCTAAATGCTTTCTTAGTCTCTGAAGGCATGGAGGAAATCCTGTCTCGGTTTTCCCTATGTAGCAGATCTGCATGCTCATCTAGATTAAATACTTTTATCTGTCACATAAGCCAGTACTTATGGTAGTGTTTGTGGTCACTTTCCGAACTGCAAGGCTAAGCATTACAGAACAGACCTGCTTTTTAACTACTGTAAAGTAATGGCTGCAGACTTGTGTTGGAGGAGTTGCAACCGCTGCGATTCTGTGGCACGTTCAGTGATTTGGCTTGCAGGTCTTACCGAGCCTCACTAACACAAATTCAAAGGAATGGTGGAAGAAAAGCAAGGGAAGTTAGTAAGTGCGCTGGGCAACTTCATGTTACAGAGCAGTCCAGCCGTTGAAAGGAATTTTAGTAAATCTTAAATCTTTGGTTTGTATTCGTATCTCCTGAAAATGTCTTGGACCAGTGCAGTGCCACGTGAAACTATGTTTACTGCTGGTCAACTGGTATTTGAGTCATCTTCAAACAACTTAACTTTACAGCATAGTTGGAAAATTAAGTGCTGTGCAACTGCCTTTTGCACAATAATACTGTGCTACTATTGTCAAAAGGCATTTTTAGAGTCATTGAAGCCACTTTGGAAGGTAAAGCCAAACCAGAGAGGTAATAAAATAGTTTCTACCTCATTTGTAAGAAAGAGCTTCTGAAATTGCTAACTAAACAATTATGCTTATTGTTAAGTTTTATAAAGGGCTTAACATATTTCTAATGTATGTTTATGTTACTGAGGTTAATAAGGAAAATCACCGAGACAGGAATTATTAAGATGATGTAGGGGAATTTGGGTAGCGAGGCAGTCCCTGGTGCCCCCTACTCTGGCGGGTCAGCCGATGCGAGAGTCGAGCGTAACACCAGCCACTTTGCAGGGGACAATCGCCTGTAATGGGTGCTAACAATGTGCATGAGTAAAACTGACACTTCAGTCACAGAAGGAACAACCTTCCAACCTCTTTGTGTGTGCATGACGTATGCTGGCCGAGTCACCCTTTTATTCTTCTCCCAGCCACCTGGATGAAGCCTGTTTTCTACCAGCTTCTCCTGAAATGCCACCAAGTGAAGGGCAACTTGACGCAGGGCAGAAATGCACTCACTGTCTTTGCTCATGCTCCGATTTGGCTGTGTATGACATCATAGCACCCAAAAAGTACCAGTTAGTGTTAACCCAAGCTAACAGCCGCAGCGCATTAACTCACCCTCAGGGCTGAGTTTCTGGACTGCCGTTGTCTCACCTCTGCCTGATTTACGTACATCCCCTTGTACTTCCACGGCACATACACCAATACTGCCATTCCCCAATCCACCGCAAACTGGTAATTCACTGCTGCATTTCCATGGTGGATTTTGTCTTCCGGGAGTCACAAACACGCCAAGATGTAGAGTCTGTAACCAGGGAAGTGACATCTTCAGAATTTTCCTGAAAGGTGAAGTATAAGTCTGCAAGTGCTCTTTTAGGATCAATCCTAGGCGCTTTTTTTTGTCTACTGTCCATGGAAATGCTATTCACTCAGGAAAATATTAATGACATTTTCTGAGAACACAAAGGTAGAAAGCACCACCAATTCCTAGGGTATCAGGCTATCCTGTAGGAAGAATTGCATAACCATTATCATTCAATTAATGCATGATGCATGGAATTATGAAATACAAAGTGTAAGGTCGTGCACTCAGCCCTGTTTAAGAATTTATGTTATGATCAAGTAGCTTACCAACAGAAAATGTTTGAGAGGATAATAAAAGTATGTGTATCAGTCACTGTGGACATCTACATCTGAGATAATTGCAAGGAGATGCTTTTGTAGTCAGATATGGTTAATGGAGTCTGTGAAGTCATAAAATATCTTACCCAAAAAGACATCTAAAATACATGAGATTAAATAGACCCTGAAAGTACTTATTTCTTTCCCTGAAGTCTTGGGAGGCAAACTCAGCTGTAGATATCCCCATGTACATACCACTCCGGCTGAGTGAGCCAGAGCTGTGTACCAAAGTACCAATACATTGCATCCATTAAAAAAGTAAATGAGATTCTAATACATACCAGGAAAGGTAATTACAGAGAAGAAAGGAGAGTATCAATGCTGTTCCACAGCGATCTGCTGTACTGGATATGCAATACACCCCATTAATGACTGATGCTCAAGAAAGATTAAATACTACTGGGAAAAGCACAGTATGGGAATATGAACTTGATGAGGGGAATGCAGAGCATGGGAGGAGAACAGTTTAAGTGTCAGGATACTGCTTATCCCAAAACAAAGGAGTATAAATCACTGCAGGTACCTGTAGGCTGGGATTGGAAAGGAGGTTTCTGACTGTCAGCGCAGTGAGGTTGTTCAGGAGGACTTTCCAGCACCACTGACTAGCCCCAAACCAGCAGTGTGTGACATGGAGCTTGATTAGTTTGTGAAGGAAACAACCCATGTTAGCAGGGGGCTTGACCTGGTGACCCAAGAGGACCTTCCAGACCTGTCTTCCTATGGTAATTTGAGTGCCTGGCAGCAAAGCTGCTCAGCACGGCTTGGATGAGATTTGAAGTGGCCTGCTTTGGTTAAATCCAATGGAAACTTTTCTCTGAAAAAGTCAGATATGCCTGGAGCCCGTCCTTTTATTCTGCTTCCACATCTCAGCAAAACTTAATGGATATTTTTTCTGTTTTAACACGGCCCATGATTGTGACACACAGAAATCTGGAAATGTCACATTCTTTGAAAAAAGAGGTTTGTCCCTCCTTACAATTCAGTGTAGGACAGTTCCTTGAAGAGATGCTCGGGGGGGGGGCGGGGGGGGGGGGCGTATTTGGCTGCCTGCCAGGTTAAACCACAACACAGAGACATGTCTCTGCAGCAGGGCAAAAAAGACAGAAATCAAGTTACGGGGAATGTGAGCTATGCATAACTTCTTATCAACACGTCCTTCCTCAAGAGTCTCCTGTCCTACCACTAAAAGGTTGTCCTGAGCACCACCAATGCAACCTGGATAGGAATAAATGTCTTAGAAGG